ACTTTATCTCACTTCTCTTTAAACTCTGTTCTAGTTCTAGCCGTCACAACCTCCTGCAGCAAGGAGCTCCACAGGTTGAATCTTTGCTTTGTGAAGAGCCACTTTCTGTTAGTAGTTTGAAGCCTGCTACCCATTCTTTTCCTTTGGTGTCCTCTAGTCCTTCTATTATGGGGACTAATGGAGAACTTTTCTTAATGCACCCTCTCCACCCCACTCATGCTTTTATGGACTTCTATCCTATCCCCCCTCAGTCTCCTCTTTTCTAAGCTGAGAAGTCCCAGTCTCTTTAGCCTCTCTTTATATGGGACCTGTTCCAAACCTCTGATCATTTTAGTTGCCCTCCCCTCTCCCACCCTCTCTCTTCCCCTCTCCCACCTCCTTTTCCCAGTCTCCCCGAGTTTTGTTCAATAAAGAGAGATTCTATTTTTGACCACACGTTTTCTTTATTTTGTACATCAGGAAGGGGGGCTAGGGAAGGGTAAGTGGAAGGAGGTGAGGGAGGAATGGGGTACGAGCCCCCGATGGGGAGGACTGGGCTGGCTCTGTGGGCTTCTCGGGGTGGAAGCTCTCCTGAAGCCCCTTGATTGACCCCCGCACCCAGCTGGCAGCCTGCGGCAAGTGCAGCCGGGCTGATGGCCGAGTGCTGTGATGTGCCGAGTGTGGGCACTCAGGGCAATCCAAGACAGGACTGCTTTGCAAGCGGGGAACCCCTGAGAACTGTTTGTCCGGGGTGGGGGTTGGGCCCCTTTAAGCACAGCCCTCGGCTAGCCTGAGACTGCAGCTCCACGCTCTAAGTCCGGCACTGCTTCCGGCCATCCTTAACCCCGGTTCAGGGTCCACTCAATGTGGACATGCTAGTTCGAATTAGCAAAATGCTAATTCGAACTAGTTTTTTGGTCTAGATGCACTATTTCAAATTAGCTTAGTTCAAATTAACTAATTCGAATTAAGTTAGTTCAAATTAGTGCTGTAGTGTAGACACACCCTCTGTGAGTAGTTGAGAAGATTAACCGATAAGCCTGGGCTTATCAGTTAATCGTATGCTCGACTACTCATTTGCATCCCTGGTGAACACAGAGCTTCTCCCCTGTTTTAATTCCTTATCCTGTGACCTGCTGTCTAGAACAGATGAATGGAATTCATCAGTCCTGCATTCTATCTTCAGGTCTGGCACCAATACACAATCTCCCACATTTTTTACATAGGCCTATTATGTCGAGAACTCAGTTTGAGACATCTAGGTGTCTGCATTTGGCACTTCATCTCCATTTACCTCATATGTTAAATAGGCATAATAATACTTCATAGGAGAGTGGAGAGGCTACCTTCATTAATGCCTGTTATGCATTTTATAGTTTACACAGGAAAACTATGTCAAAACAACATGAAGGAAGTTGCAAAATTAAGCTCTCAAAAATCAGGAAATGCCAGAATTAAGATTGCCTATCCCATTTTCCTCTCCCCTTCTAGCAGCAGCTAGTCCCACACTACCAGTGTTCCCTCTAATCTTTTCCAACCATGTGCATATTTTTTCATTCATGTGCAGAATAAAATGTGTGACGTGCACCAAGGCATGTGTGAATGTGCACCACCAGCAGAAACAAGCAACCTTGCTGCAGGTGCTTTGCTAATCAGCCAGGAGACATTTGAATCTTTCTTGAGTGGCCATCAAGTGAACAGCTTATAGGGAACACTGCACTCTACCCTTGCCTCCCATTTACTGCTCCATCCATCCCTGAAGGCTGTGCTTTTATCGCCTCTCCAACTTCAAATCAAGCAGCTTCTGTCTCCACACTGCCTGGGCCAAGCAGGAGGGGTATTTAGAGCACAGGAATGGCAGTTTCCCTGTTTTCAGTTCCAGTGCTCTGACTCAGACCCAGTCCTAGGCCCTAGTATTACCCACTGCAGCCCTGAGATGCAACTGCAAGGGAAGTGATGCTCAGCCTGGAGCAGGACCATGCCTAGAGCATACAGAATATTTGGTGATTTTAGCTCCTCAAAATTGGAAACAAACAAAACAAAACAACCTGCCTCTACAGATCATGTGCAAGCTTCAGTTTTTCAAACGCCAGATTTAAGATTTGATGGTCTGTCCCTAAATATTTGAGCATTCTCCCCTCCCCAGTGCAAAGCCTCACTTTTGTGTTGGTTTGTGATTTGCAGCCAGGCCAAAAAAGTGACCACACATCAGCGAGCTGTGTTTCTATTAGCTCTCGTGGTGCCTATTTCCTTCTCTGCAGGATCAAAATGGGAAAGGCAAAATATACATCCTGACTGAAAAGCTATCCCCTTGCCAAATTTCAAGACCCTGCTGTACAGCAGAGTGGTGCTAGCTCTTTTCAAAGGAAAGGACATCAGACACTTTTTAATACAGGGAAAACAGTACATTTTGTGTAGCTTCTTTCTTGGAAAGAGCTCAGCTGTGTGGCCTGACATTTGTCAAACCATTTCAGCCAGAAGCAGACAACCTGCAGCCCAAATGGTCAAAGTTTGGCAGGTATAAGGAACTCCATGTTGGGCAACTATAATAATAGTAGTTGGTGCCATCATTCTGCCTTTAATAAAGTGACATTGTTGTTATTTTTAGAAGGGGAGTTTCCAGAATAGCATTAGGGTTAACAGAGTAATGAAAACTAAGAAGAGATGTATGCTGTGCCCTGCCTTTGCACCAGCACTGGGTACTAGCTGGACACAGTGAGCAAAGCAGAATGTACCAATGGGAGCAGGTGGAATGTGCGCAGTCCCACTGGCATGCTTAGCAGCAGGGAGAGGGACCATGCTGCCTGATGTAGCTCCACACAAGCTCTGATGGGTGCCTGGGTGTAAATTAAACAAGCTGGTGCCAATGCGTTATGCTTCACATCTATATCTGAGCTTTGGTACATTATTTCTAATAAATGAAAATAATACCTGGCAATTAAGTAGTATTTTGCATCTGAAAATCTCAACGTTCAATGCAGACTTGAGTAAATATCATCACGCCCCCCGCTTTGGAAATGGGAAAATAGAGACTATGCAACTTGCATGAGTCAGAGGTATAACTGTGAATAATACCCAAATCATCTGACTCTCTATCTTGTGATTGACCTATAAGACGATCCTGCCCCTAAAGATATGGCATTAGGTACACTGGATTCAACCTACTGAAAGAAAGCAACAGAGGGGAGATAACTGTGCTATTTCCTTTGCAATCTTATTTTTTCCGTAACCTGTTAGCCAAGTCACTTGGAATGGGAGATTGATCTCAAATTCCCAGAGCACAGCATGGAAGACACATAAAATTATGTGGCAATATGATGCAGAATTACCTGAAGAGAATGCCCAGCAGGACTCAAACTAAATCTAAACGTCTCATTAAATGAAGGCTCTCGGTCATGCCTGCACACTCTGGTTTTCTTCTTAATTACTCTCTTTTGGGTAGAGATGTTGACAACATACAACTTCACATACAGATCTGTGGAAAAATGATTCAACCTGTGATACGCATGCTCTTGAAGTGTCATTGTCACTACTGATTTCAATGGATGAGATGTAATGAGACAAAATACACTGCTGTATACCTTGGAGCCATCTCTCACTCTTATTTACACCCGAATAAAACTGGAGTCACTTCACTGAAGCAAGAGAGTTACTCTAGATTTAGACTAGTGTCACTGAGCAAAATGAGTCTTGATATCTTTATGGCACTATCAAAATATTATTGCTGGTAGGAATTATTCTTCTGAAACATTTTTTTACGATGAATTTTGTCAAATCTGACATTTCCACCTGAAATGTCTGTATTTTGTGAAAACACAAAAGTGAAAAATATTCATTTTTCATGAAATAATAAAATGAAACACCATGAATTCAACAAAAAAAATTAAAAAATTGAAGAAAAATCATTTTTTTTACCAACGCTACAAAATATGCCGTTTTGCTTAACAAACTAACTGATTTCCCTATGGTAATAGCGCCATTGAATGTGTGACCCAATCTCCTGCTTGATGTTCATTACTGTATCATGCTGCTGCTTGTCACTGGTACCTGGTAAGTGATCTGGAGATTTAAACTTGTAGGTGATATTTCTGCATTGAAGGATTTCAACTATTAGCTGTTCTCCATCAGTCTTCATTTCCTTTTTCAGTGCAATCTTGATTTCACCCATCACTTGAGTTTTACCTAGAAAGAAGAAAACCAAAACCTATTAGAGTGAAAGGAAATGGGGGAGGGAGGATTCTTAGCACCCTACTGAGGAAGGTGATTGCTTTTGCACAGCATCTAATTGTAACAAATGGTAAAAGTATAGCAAAATGACTAGATCAGCAAATGGAGCAGACATATGTAGTCAACAGTAGAACATGTAATCATAGGCATCCAAACTTATTTGATTCCAGAAACAATGCTGAAGAGGGAAGATTTTCTAAAGTGATTTAGGAGCCTACATTCCATTTTCAAAAGTGACAGTCATTTTGGGCCAGATTTTCAAAGGCACTGAGGTAGCTAAAATACAGATAGTTTCCTAATGGGATTTCCAAAAGCAGGGAGTTGCCTAACTCACCTGGGCATTGGGCTCCTTAATGCAGTAAAAATTACACTGTGTGCATATCAGCATTTTAGATGCCTAAATACCTTTGAAAATCTGGCCCAATCTGGTGAAATATCATTGAAAGGAAATGTAAATATAATTGAAAGTAAGTTCCTATGTCTCTAAGATTCTACTGAAAATTTTAGGTCAGGTTACTAAATTTATGCCAGACAAAAATTAGAGATATTATCTGATGTGCAATAAAGATGTATACAAATCAAATTAATCCAATAAACATTTATACATTTTATTTGGAACTGTCATGAATTCCCTAATAGCTCTCTGGACAGGACTACTGTATGTCAGTATGTGGAGCAATGCAATTACATTCCCTTCAGATGAGATGTGACAAGGACCATTTTTCCTAGCCATTATGTGAGTGTGCCCAAAGAGAGGGCAATGGAGGCAGAAGAAAAGAGTCTTCCTCAATCTTTGTGCAGCCTGCATATGGACTAGGCAGAGTGACAGGCCCACAGAACAGGCATTTTCCCCATTAGATGTTCAGGGTGAGATGAGGTTATATATATAGAAAGCAGCGGTGTGAGGGTGCTATTGCACCCCCATGTTTTGAATCCAGCTCATTTGCATCTGGAAGCCAGTCCCACTGCCAGCTCCTCCAGCCACAGGTCCCTCCCCCATATGCTTTGCTTGCCCCCTTGGATCCTGCTGCTGCAGGCTTTGGTGGCCTCCCTGGCCCAGGACTCTGCAGCTGACCCTGCTGTGGTTGCCTGCTCTCCTGGACTGGATAGACGGGAAGCCATTTGCATCAATGGAGTTAAGTTTTTTGGTTTGGGAAAGTTGGCAACCAGATCTCAACAGGCCTAAAGGAGGGGTACAGCTCAGCATCCCCACCCCAAAATTAGTACCAATGCCACTGGGTAGGGTGGAGGATAGGCAGAGCTCTGCCTCCATCCCCTCAAAACATAAACCAGAGTGAAGTGGAATATGCCCAGGACCTGTGACTGCAGCGGAAATGGTTTTGTAAGAGCCAGACTGTGAAGAGGTTGGTGCAGTATGTTATTAACATTACCCATAGGTCTGTTCTATCTGATGTGCCATTGAACCTCAGTGAAGTTGCTAAAATGGTAAGGTCATTATCCTGCTAAGTGCTGAGCATCCAGTGAGAACTTGCAAAACTCATCACATTACGGGCTTGGCCCCCAAGTGCTGAAAGTCTAGGAAATAGACGTGGAGGTAGAGCTGTATCTTGCTCTGTATTTAGACTAGCAACAGCATTTCCAAAGGCAGCACACCTCTCAAAGCTATAGCAGCAAATCTATGTGCGAATGCCAGGGCTTTGGTCAATGTTTTTTTGCATTCAGTACCAGAATAATTAACTACATGAAGCCAGAATAAACAGTTGTAGCAGAAAGCTATGATGAGTTTCAGGCAATCATTACTTAACCACCAGCCTTTCCTAGAACATTTGGCAAGCTGTTTATTTTATTGCCTCGTCCATCCCCGACCCTTTTACGCTCATTTGCAACATTTGTTGAGGCAACATCTTTCCTGGCGGAGTTTGCTTCTTTTTTTCGTTGGTTTCACTTACATGTCTTTTCAATATAACAATAAATAAGCCAACATGGAGAAAGAAATACTACAAGGGAATTGGAGGACTAAAGAAAGAGAGAGAAAGAGACTTACAATATGTTACAATGAGGAGTCCTGTGTTACCTTAAAGACTAACAGATATTAGTGGTCCCCAACATGGTGCCTGTGGGTGCCATGGCACCTGCCGGGCCATTTCTGTGCGCCCACCGAGTGATCGGGGCCAGCCCCACCCCTGGGCATGTGGTGCATGGGTGGTGCCAGCCTCTGGGCGTGTGGCACATGGGCGGCCCTGCCCCCGGGTGCACGGTACATGGGCTGTGCCGACCCCAGGTACGTGGCATATGAGCATCCCCGCCCTTGGGTACATGGCACAGGAGTGATGCCGGCCCCAGGCGCACAGCGTATGGGCGCTGCTGGCTCCTGGGCGTGTGGCACAGGAGCGGCGCCAGCCCCAGGCGCGCAGCACATGGGTAGCCCCGCCCCCCGGCGTGCAGTGCATGGGCTGTGCCAGCCCCGGGCATGTGGCATATGGGTGTCCCCGCCCCTGGGCACGCAGCGCAGGAGCGGCGCCAGCCCCAGGCGCGCAGCACATGGGTAGCCCCGCCCCCCGGCGTGCAGTGCATGGGCTGTGCCAGCCCCGGGCATGTGGCATATGGGTGTCCCCGCCCCTGGGCACGCAGCGCAGGAGCGGCGCCAGCCCCAGGAGTGCAGCGCATGGGTGGCACCGGCACTGGGCACACAGCGTGTGTGCGGCCCCATCCCCGGGTGCATGCGTGGCCCCACCCCCAGGGGCGGGGGTCCC